ACCCACGTGCAGAACATGAATCAGCTTGTCCTGCCTGAGCTGAGTGTTTCAGGCTCGTAGTGCGGGTGTGGTTGTGTTTCATCAGAGCTGCGCCGCCTGAGGCTGTGTGGATCCGTGTCCAGGTTTCCCAGCACAGACTGGTCACTTTACTGGTGCAACTCTTCAAAGAGACCAGGATCTCTTTAGTCCTGCAGGATAAATGACTTCCCCTAATGATGACTCATTGTGTAGCTCCCACAGGTGTGTTTTATTTTGAAGGAGTGCCACAAACTGTTTTCTATCTAAAGGAACATAAATAGGACGGTGCGGTCCTCAGGGCTGGTTCTGTTTGACACAGGTGGAGCTGATCTCAGGTGTGGAGCCGAACAGATCAAACAGAGCTGTGCTACATGAACACCTGCCTTTAAAGTCACCATCAAAGGTGAGCTCCTTGTGCCGAGTTCAAAAGAAACCACAGGCCCTGCCCCGGTGAACTGCAGCTGACCGCTCGGCACCGAACAGGACCGGTTCAGGCTCCAGAGAAAAACCACAGGAACAGTGCAGGTCAGGTCTGCGATCATTTCCTGTAAACACACTTCACTAACGCTGCTTAAAGCTCTATCAGGTAATCAGAAAGCCACATGTAAACAGAACCAGAGACAAAGTCCAGATTAGAAAATCTGAGCTTTAACTCAGAGGAGATTCAGGCTTTGTGTTTTATTTAAATAAAGTTTTATAAAAAAAAATAAAAAAAACTTTTACAAACTCTGTAGAGACTGAATATTTCTGATCATTTACTCATGTTGGAAATATTAACCAGGTAAACAGCTGTTAACTCCAGATGACTGAGTCTGAAGCTGAAAATGACACTAGCTGAAAGCTAATTTTAAGAAAATGCTCGCTAATGTAACAAATAACCAGCTAGTTTTGAAAAGACTAGCTAGAAGCTAAACGTAACAAAATATTAGCTGAAAGTTTACAAAGACTAGAAGCTAAAACAAATATTAGCTGAAAGTTTACAAAGACTAGCTAGAAGCTAAAAGTAACAAATATTAGCTGAAAGTTTACAAAGATTAGCTAGAAGCTAAAATAAAATGTTGGCAGAAGRCTAGCTAGAAGCTAAAAATAACAAAATGTTAGCAGAAGGCTAGCTAGAAGCTAAAAATAACAAACTGTTAGCAGAAGACTAGCTAGAAGCTAAAAATAACAAAATGTTAGCAGAAGGCTAGCTAGAAGCTAATGGACACAAGTGGTTTGTTAAGTTTTAGAAGGCCACTGTAAATGAAAGTAGCAGAAGGCTAGCTAAGAATAGCACAAAGTTTAGTAAATGCTAAATGTAGCACATAGCTAAAAACTAAAGGTGGCAAAGAACCAGAACCAGAACCGCAGAGACAAAGTCCAGTCCATATCTGGAACCATGTTCTCTGAACTCAAGACGAGCAGGACCGTCTGTTACAGGTCAAAACCCTGCCTCTCTGATGGTATGGAGGTGCATTAGGAGTTTAGGAAAGGTGAGGTGGTGGACAGGTGTTTTGCTGGAACATGACTTCCTGTTTGCCAGTAAGGCAGCTGAACAGTGACTCACCTGAGACCAGTTCCAGTTAGTGTTTGCTCTCTGAGGTCTGACCCCGAGGGGAGGGGGCCTGATGACTCACCTGAGACCAGACCCCCTCCTGCCCGAGGGGGGGCAGACAGAACAACATCAGACAGGAAGGTTCAAAGGCAGATATTTAACCCCACAGCTTCAGTTTCAGCTCTAAACGAGCACAAAAGGCTCAGAATCCAGTTTCAGAACGCTCCAGGTCCAAACAGGACCCGGCTGGTACACAGAGACGTCTCAGGTGTCCCATAAAACCCCCACCTGAGACAAAAACATTCATCAGTTCTGGTGTGAAAGGAGATCCACAGAGTCTGAACATACTGTTCCTCAGGACGACACAACAAATAAAACCAAGAAGAAGAAGAAGAAAAACTTTGTTTTTCCATCTGGTTTGGTTTCTGACCCAAACCAAACAGATTCTGTTCTGCAGACATGTTGGAGCAGGAGGTCCAGCTCTGCTGCTGCAGGAACCATGAGCGAACCACTCCACCTGCTGGGCGATGGAGGGAGGAATCATTGAGCCAATCTGASGAGGGGTCCACAACTATAGACCTATTGTTAGTTGATGACCCTCTTTTGCATGTGACTAACCTGTTTGTCCAGGTGGAGGCGGAGCTTATAAGGCTGAGTTCACCTGAGACTCATCAGACTGAAGAAGTCTCTTGAAGGAGAGACGAAACGTTTCATTAAAGAAGAACCATCCAGAGGAACTACTGATTTTTTCTTTTTGATAGTTTGGATTCCTGAGATGCATCAGGACGTATCTGATGATGTGGATTAACCAGGTTTAAGATAATTTCTAATGAACTGGATTAAAAATCCCAACAAGCCTTTTCTTCCTCAGATGGCTGAGGATGAACCCTGCGTCCTCAGGCCCTTCTACACCTGCACTGTGGAAAGCATCAGGACCTGCTGCTCTGCAGTGTGGTGCACACAGCGCAGCACATCACCGGTGTTCAGCTGAAAACTGTTATCCCTCATAAACTCACTACACCTCCCTCAGTCCACCCCCCTTTTCCTTCACRCACTATCTTTGAAAATATAATCACAACAAAAATACACTGTCACAACAAATGTGTGCACTCTGTGTAATGTGTTTACAGTATAAGTTTATTGTGTTTAGTGTTCCCGTTTATCTTTTTGTTTGTATATGTTGTAATCTGCTTACAGGTTTTTCACTCCCCTGTACGCCTGGGCTTATGTGCTGTGATGATTGATTGATTGATTGATTGATTGATTGATTGATTGATTGATTGATTGATTGATTGATTGATTGAAATCAGGTTACCACTGGTTTGAGTTAGGCTTCACAATCATTCACACAATTGAGATAATTTTATATAAAAACGTTCGGCTCATTTATAACAATCCTGCTGTGCTGTGTGTATTTCAGCTGTTTATACTTTTTTCAGCTATTTCACTTTTTTAGCCACTTTTTCCCCATTGAAAATGAATGGAGCTGTTTTCAACATCCTTTAAAATGTTTCTAAATCTTTACAGGACCGTACACATTTTGTTCTGGTTCTGCTTTTTTTCACTTTCTTGTGCTAATTTTAATTTTTTTTTTAGCTAATTTTAGCTTTTTTCTGCTATTTCAGCTAAAACTCATCTTCTTTCTGCTGTTCTTGTGCTGTTTTCTACTTGAGCTTTTTTCAGGTACTTTGTGCATTTTATGCTTCTTACAGATTTTTTAAAATATATTCAGCTATTTGCTGCAAATTTAGCTAATGTTCAGCTGTTATTAGCTAAAAACAGCTTTTTTTAACTAAATATACATTTTATGCAGCTATTACAGCTTATTTCTGATAAGTTCAGCAAACGTGCTTCTTATGCTTATGTTAATTGAAGAATTACTAGCTTTAGCTGTTTATCAGAAAATTTTGGCTGTTTTAGCCATTTTATTACAAATTGTCATTTTTTTCTACTTCTATGCTTTTTACTGCAAATTTTACAAATTTTTAACAACACGTTCACCATCTGGGCGCTAATTTCAACCTGTGTCTGCTACTTTTAGCTTATTTTATGCTAGTTTTAGCTTTTTTATGCTACTTTAGCTCTAGATCTGTTTTTCTTCTACTATTTCTGTTTTGTGCTTCTTTTCTGCTGCTTTGTGCTATTTTTGTTTCTTACAGATGCTTTCTGCTATATTCAGCTATTTGCTGCAAATTTTAGCTAATGTTCAGCTGTTATTAGCTAAAGTAAAATTTTAAGATAAATACATTTTTATAGCTGTTAAAACCTAAGAAAATTAGTAAAATTGGGCTTTTAGCTTTAACTCGCATTAACACTTTTACTATTAAATATTTTCAGCTGAATTTCAACTTTATGCTTCATAAATTTATTTATGTCAAAAACCTGAACAGTTTCAGCTGCAATGTGTGTGTGTGTGTGTGTGTGTGTGTGTGTGTGTGTGTGTGTG